TCTTTTGCATCAATTGCAGAGGGTTAGGTAAGTTTTTGTGAACATGAATTGAATGATATTTCTTCTTCGTTTTCTCAGCTCAGCGATGGAGGACTAAAAAATGGTCGCTCCTTGTTATGATTTGTTGTGGTTACCCTCGTTTGGAATGTTTTCTGTTGATGTTGAGATATTCAATTGTCGTCATTTGGGAAGTTTTCAATCGACGTTGTGGTATTTGATTGTCATCGTAAAATTAAAAGTTTGGCGGGAGGGGGGTGTTTCTGAGCTACTGCATGCCTTAACATATTATCATCTACTATTGTCAATAGGTGAATAGTATGCATGCCTTGATTATTTGTGGTGTTTTGAATGGTTGATGACGATCTTGGTTTCCATATTTTTACTATTGGAGGGTACTTTAATGATATCATGGTTTTAATACTGCATATTTTAGCCTGTGCAAATTTTGGTGATGTTGTGATTTGAATGTTTGATATTCTAGAATTTTTCGGTGGTGCGGTAGCGTCAATGCTTATTGTCTCTGATAGAGTAATTTGCCCACGAGCGTGGTGGTTTGAAAGAACATGAAAATTTAAATATATGCCTCATAAGTGTTATCTAGTAACAGATTTTTATGGTGCATTGGTATCATAAACCTAGATATCTGATAGCTGTGTTAAAATATGAATGTTTAAGTTTGATATATGTAAATACATGAAAATCGTGTGCTCCAATGAAACAAGTGCAATGATTGGTTCTTTTTGGCTTACGTGTAGCTGCCTATGGTGTTGATCAGCTTTATTATAATTGATTATCAATTGTTGTTGCCTATGATTATTTATCACATTGATCCTTGGATTTATTCTTTATTTGTACCCTCATTTGGCAATGGGTGATAAGTTATCCCGCAATCTGCAAAAGAGGGTTTAATGTTTTTTAGTTTGGCGCTATGATGCAACGAAGTCATCTCTTTGCTGCCTCTTGAGAGTCATTTTGATGAGGTTTATTCAAATTTGCTTAATCTGTTTTCCACACATGTACAACTCTATTTATGACTTGAAACTTTCTAGTCTAGATCGAAGATATGTCTCTAATTCCTGTGAGGGCACCAATGTTGAACTTTTAAGTTGAGCCAATAGTTTTGAGCGAGCATTTGCAGTCTGGAAGAATAACTGGTTATTCTACAAGACATGCCTAGTTACTCATAAAAAAAGAGGTTAAAATAGTTGTGGCTACGATGACATTACAGATTTTCACATGACTCCATCCTTCATATCATGATGTCGAATTCAATATTTTAGATGATGATCGATCATATGTCCCACCTGAAACATTTGAGTATCAAATAGGACGACAATGCTCGAAATTACTCGATGCAATAGAATCTCAGACACAGGATGGTGAAGGAGTTGAGGAGATGAAATAGCTTAGAGAACTCATTATAAATGCTTTGTGTAAGTATTTGCTTTACATTTATGATATGAACAGATTCCCACTTAATTTTGGCTGGTATTGGCTTTTTTTAGTTGATACTATGTGTTTTTTGTTGATACAATTGTGTGATTTGAGTTGTGCGCTGAAATGTACATTGTGGTCTGTCCTTTTTTTTTTATAACTATAATTTGCAATGCTGGTTTATGATTAAAAGTTAAGTTGTGTTTACTCAACCTTGTATTATTAAAAAATATGTATTCAAAGACTTATATTACATCCTGCAACTGTGATTTGCAATGTTGTGTGGTTACGTCACATTAGGAAGCCACTTATATGAGAATTTTATAGGTGTCTCAAAAATAGATCATTAGATGATCATAACATTTTTAGATGTGTTGACTATGAGGAGTCTACTTCAGATAGTGACAATGTGTGAAGAGTTGTTTTGAAAAAAAAAAAAATTCTCAAGAGATTTGATCGTTTGGATACCAAGAGTAATATTATGATAACATTATTTATTACTATTGTAGTTTTAATTTTCATGTTATTCATTATTAAGTGATATGTAACCTTTAATGTAATATGATGGATTTCTGACTTCCCGTCAACTTTTGAAATTTATTTTTGGTATTGAATTCATTATAAAACCGTTAACATACAACTAGCACATGTACATAAGGACCTTAATATCTTTTTTTTTTCTCAAAACAACCAAAGTACAACAAGTGATTAATATTCCAAATAGACATATTGCTTCACTAATAGCAGTTTTCTTGCAACATCCTCTCCAGAAACAGCTTTTCAGTTGTTTCTTCAGACAACTGCAACTATCATGGACAGATCAATACTTGATCATGTTTATTCAAATTAGAAAATAAACCAAAAGTTTAAATTAGTCAAATTTGAACATATTCCAACTCGTTTATTAATGTTAATGAACTCACTTGTTTGTTTTTCAACAAGTATCTTGTTCTCTACTTTAATAATATATTGTTTAAATAAAATTTACATGGTAACTTTATAAATAAATTGAAGTTCTCATTCAAATGTTTTGACTATTTAATTAATAAAAATAATGTAAGTACAATTCAACTACCTTCATTAAAAAAATTTAAGAAAATTTACATACATACCGAACAATTCTTATTTATTTAAATATCCTAAACCTAAAGTTTGATATTTACACTTATATCACTTTGATGTCATAAACCTATGCATGAAGATAAAGTGGTGTGCATGTAACTAAAAATGTTTAGGTGTCAGATATGTAAATACATAACAATTGTGTAGTATGTATGAAAATGCCAAAAGGTTTTTTAAGCCAGCCACATATGAACACATATGTGAAAGCTCCGCTCAAGCATAATTTGAACATAAATAATTTATGATTCGGCCGAGCTATAATTAATCTATGACATACTCGACTAAGCTCAAATGAGACCCCAATAAAATGTTGCACTTCACATTTTGAATGTTAAAATGATGTTATTTTTTATGTGATATGAAGGATTTGGGTGTAATAATTGTAAAAAAAATTATACTTAGGTGTTAGATATGTGAATGTATGGGAATTAGGTGTTATGCATCTAAATCCCCCTAAAAGAAATAGTGCATCGTGAAATCTCAAATATTTTAGTTCAATTCAATAAAAATTTACATTCCGAAATCAAAATCCGCACTAATGTAAAGTAGCTCGATCATCGAAATAGGCTCCTAACTAGATTACAACTTGTAAGCAAGCTATAATAACAATAATAATAAACAGTTCAAACGGTCAATCACCGACGACCGCATTGTCATGCACGTTATCGGAGAACGATATGGCCGCCAGTGGTTGACCGTGCGGACGTCCGGACAGAACTTTTTTTCCTATCTACTCCCCAACAATTTGTAATATAAATATTATTTTTAATGAATGCTTTTCATGTTAGTCAATAAAAGTTTAAGCAATACATAATTGCAAAGAGCATTCTCTATTTCATGTGTATAAATCGCAATTTTTTTAATATTTTTTTACTGACTATTTCAATAAATTTCTTAATATTCTATGGGATATATATGTTTGAAATATCACACAATTCTTATGTATTTACCCATCTAACATCTAAATATTCATATTTATATGCATATAATGCAAATCCTCAATATCACATCAAAAATATCATTATGATATTATTTTAAAAGTGAAATATACATTTTTATGCATGGATTTATGATAGCGAAAGGTTATAAGTGTAAATATCAAACTTTTGGTGTACATATCGAACACATAGTAACTTACTAACTTTGTGGTATTTATGTAAATTTCCCAGAAAAAAAAATTAGCTTTTTTTCTCTTTAATTTCTATAGAAATTTTTCAAAATAGGAATAATAAAATTAGGACGAGGTGTGTACTTATGTGATGTAAAGGTTTAATTAGCATGTATGTAAATATAAATACTTTGGTGTTAAATTTGTAAATATAAGAAATTAGGTGGTATGTATGTAAGGCCCCCAACAGCAAAGTAGGGACGTAAACGAGCCGAGCACGAGCGAGCCTTAGCTTAGCACGTGTTCGGCTTGTTTATATTTTGAGCTCAAAAAGTGTGTTCGTGTTCGGTTCGTTTGTTTTGCGAGCCGAACACGAGCCGTTTACGAACAAAAAGTCATTTTGACAACTCTAATCACGTAGCCATAAAATGTTAAGGATTGTAGCAAAATTTAAAACATAATTTGAATCTGATTAAATAATTTTTATTCTATTTTCTTTATTAATACTTTTAATTGATTATAAAAAAAACACGCTCTCTAAAAATTTTTGCGCGATATATATATATATATATATATATATATATATATAATGAGTTGTACTTCGAGCTAAAACGAGCGTAACAAGAACAAACAAATCTTTGTTCGTGTTCGACTCATTAACTTAGCGAACGAGCCGAACATGAGTTTCTTAACGAACCGAACACGAGCTATTCACCACCAGAGCCGATTTGACAGCCCTGACATATTTAAATACAAACCAGCCAATTCTTATGTATTTACATGTCTAAAACTTAACTTTACTTTTTATATTTATATCATCCAAAAATTTCATATCACATAAAAAATTATCAATTTTTTTTTACTTTTAAAATTGAAGCATATTTTTCGTGCATGAATAACATATCATATGTGTAAAAAATGAAATTTAGGTGGTAGATATGCCTATATCACTCGTATTATTTTTTTGAATTATTTTCTGTGTTTTATAGCTTAAAAAAATAATACGAGTATTAATTTTATAAATAAGAAATATTCAAATATTATTTTAAAAACTCTCTCATTGGATATAAAAATGAATATAAAAATATGAATTTGTTATATAAAATTTTTAAATAAAAAAATTTTAAGTATAAAAATGAATATAAAAATATGAATTTGTTATATGAAATTTTAATTAAATTAAGCAATTTCCATCGTACCAAGGAAATGCAAAATGAGCTGCAATGCGAGCTCAAACTTCAGGACGATATTGCAATTCATATAAATTTTGGGCACCGATGTAGCAATAGAACTCGTGTACTTAGCTTGAATTCCTCCGCTATATATATAAGGGCATTCCCGGCTCTTGTCCCGCCTATTAGTACTCCCCCTACATTTCCCACTCTTCCACTGAAAGCAGCTGCTTCTGTTCCTGGGATGAAATTCGCTCTAGAGATCATACGGATAGTTTTCGGAAAAGAAATATCCGCGTCGTTTCTCTGATCTAATGAAGTTTAATATCAACAAGGCCTGCGATCTGAGATCCATCTCAGTGCTTCCGCCTCACTCCAGGTTCTGATCCGAATTCTTATGTCACTTTTTTACTTCTCTGCCGATCCTACTTGTTTTGTACTCCTAGGCGCTGTAGTTGATCGATTTTTATCAGGAGAGTGAGCACAATGAATTCTGGAGTGGATGCATACGGGTTAGGAAGAAATCAGGCTTCGCAACTCCGATCTCAGTCTCAGCAGTCATTTTCTCAGGGGCTTTCTCAGTCTCAGATCTCTCAGAACTCTTTCGAGAACTTGGGGAACGATCAGGTAAGCATGATATTTGAATCAACTGATAAAGACTTAAAACATTGATAGAAATGAAAGAGAAAGAATGTTCTTAATTTGCTAGATCTTTCTATCTTTCACTGTTCCCTTAACTGTTGTCGACTCTTTGTTACGATGGGGACTGCAGATCAAAACAAAAGATACCGACATACCACTGTCTGATCTGCATGATGGGTTTAATATTATAAATAACTGCATGTTTCTTTAGTGATGGCAGAAGTAGTTAAGTGTCACTGTTTTCACTTCAACATCTTAACTGAGATCCAATTAGCCCTTTGGTGGGTGAATAACTGAATCACGGGCAAGTTTAAAATTACGAAATCGAAGAAACTAGTGAAGATTTTTTTCAGAGGTCAGTTTTTGAGCTGATAAAAGATTTTGGGAGATATGGGGGACTTGAAGTTAGAGAATCGAAGCTTTCGTTGTGAAGTGGGTAGGATGAGCGCGCCTGATTTATGGAGGGGAATATGACTTGAACCGGGGCTCATATGGTGTGGGAGATTGTATGTCTTTAATTTTGGCTGTGAGATGAGAGTAGGAACCTATTTCTAGAACCCAAGAGGATGCATTGGGTTTTGATTGAGTTGTGATGGCTTGTGGTGGACATGGGTTCAGTGCTAACAAGTAGCAATGTGTGGCTAGATTTTCAACAAATTTGACGGTGGGGAAAGGTGTTCTGCATCCTCAGTTTGGTCTTGTTGAGCGTTCCTCTTTTGGCACAATATTAATTTGCATGTCCGTGTCCTCTCCCTGGTTCTGAGGTTGGTTTGTTGTGCTGAACAGAGAGCGCAACATTTGGGTCCGGATAGTGAATCTTTTTGCTGAGTTCATAGGAGGTTGTTTTCTTCAGTGTACAATAAGGAATAGAGATAATTTTGGCTTAGGGGAAGAAGTTTGTTTATAACTATTTTGAAAGCTTGATAGGATTTTGGCAATCTGTCAAGCATTTTTAGGATAATATCTTCCTGATCATCACGTGATCTTGTTGCTATATTGTTTTAAAGATGGTTTTACTTCTATTCAAATATTGTGTCATGGTATTGTTGCTCATGGTGAGAGAGTAGCTCATTATTTAGCTGAGTATCTTTGGGTAGATTGGTCGATTGAAGTGGCTTTTCAAGTATTGTCCTGATATTGCTGATTTGCCTAGATTACGAACGATAGGAAGAAGTGACGGGCTGATGATAGCATAAAAAATTGGCTACTAGATTTTAATCAATGAGAAGCCATATGGTGTAGTTGGAGTTTGATTTGGACATGCCATCAATGGAAGTATTGTATCTGGAGGGTTTGGGGATATTGCCCGTGAGGAAGCCTTCATAACCATCAGCTGAAAATTTTAGGACCTGTGATCTCCAGGTAGGATAATTATCGTTGGACTGTTGGGTTGTTATGATGTTATTAACGTTTTCAATAAGAAATTTGATAGGTGAGGGAATGTTGTTTACGACCATTGGTGAGAAAGGTTCACTTGAGCTTTGTTCACCGGATGTGATGGGATTGATGAATGAATGATCCATGAGATGTTGATGTTTCAAGGAGAGCAGGGGGAAATGAGAGGTAAGGAATTACATTGTTAAGTATCTGCTCTGTTACCTTGAAGAAACGTCAATAGTAGATTATAAGAAAAGACCTGAACTAAGCCAAGCATTAATTGAACATAGTAGATATTGGCATTAACATATTTATTCTCATGTATATCAGTTATAATTGGAGAGCTAATTATTTATATAGGTAGAGTAGAAGATTCTAGTACAAGAATTAAGTTTGTCATAAGCTAGGGGTTATGATGATTGAGTACTCAGCATCCCACGGTTGTGAAGAACTTGGCCAATGCGGGACCACTTCATTGCTTAGAATTTATGCGGCTTGCTATTGAATTTAGATGTTTAATTTGTAGTGGAAGCAGCCGGACTGTTTTGGAGTGTATTGGCAATGTGTATTATTAGCTAGTAGTGAAATGTTCTTAGAAAGTTAAAATTTGAGATGTTCTTTTCTTCTTAATGCTGTAATGTAATGGTTTTGGGAACATGTTATAACATTATAGGCAAAGGTAGTTGTCTGAATTTAACTAATAATTGTGAAATGGTATTTTAGTTTTGGTGAGTTGTACAGAACTTACAAAGTATTTTATAATTTTATTTTTTATAGTTCAATGATTTGCAACAACTAGTTGTTTCCAAGGAAGAGAACTTCTTTACTATAGAGATGCTATTAGTACATATCTTTTGCATTTTTCTTCTTCTTTGTGGTAAACTAACAGTTGATGGATGGGCCATGCGATGAAGTATATTTTCATTTTGGCACAGCCATTTGCAATTTTAAATTGCGCCTAATGTCATGCTTGGATTACATACATTTTGGTGAAAATCTTTACTATTTTTCAGTTTACTAAATCTTGTTTTAGTCATTTTTGCATCTTTGTAATTTTTTCTTTCAAGCGGAGAATTTACTCAATGTGGTTTCTATTGTAATCTGTTTTCTTTTGCTTTGTATTAGAAATTTGATTCTCAAGAAAGAGAAACGGCATCAAAAAGAATATCTTCATTGGCTCCCATCATGCCAACACGAGAAGATTCTCAGCTGCAGCTGTCGAGGACATCCAGCAATGCCATGCGACAGTGGAGTTGCACCACTGCTCCAGATAATAAATGTAATTCCTTTTCTGTATTGTATACAGAGATTTAGTTGATGATATCTGTTAAAAGGTTTTTTTTATAAAAAAAACGATATCTGTTAAAGTATATATGCAATAAGTGGATCAACTCTTTTGTTTCTAGTATCAATAGATCAAGCTTTTAGGCAGTTTGTGTTCCAAAATTCCTGTCGAATTGTAACTCCTGTAATGTTAGGGATTATTATCTCACACAAAACTCTTGAATAGGCCAAGTTAGTGAAGAGCTTGAACGCAGATTAAGGTTCCAGGAAAGTTCACTAAACAAGCTGAGCATGATCCTAGACTCCCTTCAGAGCGATGTCATGCAAGTGAACAGAGCAGTCAAAGAAGTATCTCTGGAGGGTAAGTAATAATGCACTTTTACAAGGTGAACAGCATTTGATTTCTTTGGATATTGTAGGAATTAATGGAGATCACAATTTTGATCATTTTCATGTATGGCATTTGACTATATGCTACAATCACTACAAAAATTTAGTCTCTCATGCTCTTAATCTATGCTATATCTTATTTGGATCACTTCAATTGAATGCATCCATCTTCTAGTGGAAGGAATACGGCAGAAGGCAACTCTTATTGATAGTTCCACACAGCAAGTGGTGAGAACCATTTATTTAGGATGTGATCTTTGATGTTTTTATAAGATTGTAATGTGTTCTTGAAATTGAAATGACAGCTCAAAGAAGAGGAAGATATCAAAACACGTCTTGATAGAAGCATGAAAATCATTTCTGATGAAATGATGAAGAAAACTGATCTTAATAGAGTAAATGAGGCCGCAATGGAAATTCCTACTTTTACAAAGGAAATAGAAGCACAGTTAGTTGGATTTCGACGTGAGATATGTCTCATCATCTCAAAAAACATGGAGGTACTCTGTTTTTCTAGTAACTTATTGGTTTAATAGAATACTGCTCAAATTTGCTGTCCTTTATTAGGCTCTTAGTTTCTTAATTGAGGGTTGGGTATATTGGTGTCGGCACAAAAAGGGAGAAAGTTATGTTTGGGGGTCGCCCGTAAGAAGCTGTCGGCAGCCGGAATCGAAATCCCGTTACCCGCTTTGGAAGGA